AAATCAAAAATCCCTTCAAAATTTAAATTCAAATTCAATCAATCCATTCAAATATCGTTATACGCCGCTAGCGATTCTCTACAATTTTCCAAAAGACGAAACAATTTACGCTTTACAAAAATTTGGTTACTTTTTATTATATAAATAAAATTTCATAAAAAAATATGAGTTTTTTTTTATTATAATTAATTTCTAAAATATATCTTTCTAAAATATCTTTAAGTTAATCTTAGAACAATCCCCTTGTTATCTCGTTATAGTGTAATTATTAATTCTGTGCATCTGTGATAAATGGAAAAATAATAGCAAAGTGTGCAGCTTTATAGGGGAACGAAATGTCGTGCTACCGATTAGGATCTTTGTGAATACGCTTTTTATTATATTAGCCACGCGTAAAATATATACAGTTATTCTATTCAGAATAGAACGAACTTCTTGAAAGTACCGTTATCATTATTATTACTGCATTACAATTGATATTAGTTGTCTGCATAAATCTCGCGAAATAAGGAATTACGAAATTACACGTATCAATTGTATAATTGTGTCTTTTGTATTTAAAATATTACGCAGAATATATACAAATATCAACCGTAATTTCGTGAGATTTAAATAGAGAAGACTGATAAAGTATTAAATAAGTAAAAAATAATATAAATGAGTATTACAAAATAAAAATTGTTTAGGAAGAAATTAACGTTAAATCAGACTGAAAAATATTATTTAATACTCTACTTCAACATAATTATATAGAAAAATTACTATTTTAATACATATGTAATCATTTATATAACAAAAGCAAAATTTCCCCGGACAAATAATATAAAATTATTTGAAGCGTTAAATTAATTGGATTACCTCGAGCGAAATATACGTATAAACACGTATTGTGTTTTCGTTTACGTAGGAAAGGGCGCGGTAATTCAAAGGACCATTAAATGGCGTGTCAGCTGACCTTAGCGGAGAATAAATTTCAGTAAGTGATCGAGATCATGAAACGAGTATTCATAGTACAAACCATCCTACGCTTATTCATGCGCGTGCTATTACGACGCGAGACAATATACATTTATATTCCATCATAGTGGACACGAAGTTTCTTAGAAGTCTGGGACCTGTTATTCACGACACGCAAGACCAAAGTAACGTTCAAAGTTACGCCGCGAAACGTCAAAGCGGAAAGAAGTGATGCGATTTAATGGTACGTACACATACACGACGCGACCCGGTGCACTCGCGAGAACGCATGTATGCATTCGCCTGCGTACTCTGGCATTTCGTTACACAGGTGGTTGCATCGTGGACGGACGGTAAGCGTATTTGCGATCTGTCACTGCAAGATTTACGCGCATCTACCGGTTTTATTCTCATCCTCCGCGAAAATGTCCACTGAGTGCCCTTTTCAGGAAAAAGGAAATAACGTCGTAATTACAATTTAAGATCAACCGTTAGTTGTAAAAAAGATTAAAGTTGAAAGAGTGAAGGTTATACAATTTAAAACTATTGATTATAATTTATAATTCTTTTAAACAACAACTGAGTTGAAAACTTTTTAGAAGATTTTTATGAGAAAACTGACATAATAAAATAATAGTAGTTTAAGTAAACTATTTGAATATACTTTCCTAAAATTCCTCAAAATAATAAAAAATTATTTATCAGTATTTTCATTAAGGATTTTAATAAGAATAAAAATTACTTTACATTTTAGAACTTCAACTTTTAGCTCAATAGCTTTCTAAAAACTGGCTTTTTGAGAAAAAAATCATTCAAAGATATTTCATTAAAAATTAGACCTATTGAGGAGTTCAGGTTTAAAAGCATTAAACAATGACGAGACTATCACGATTTTTGCTTTGCAATCATCTAGTATATGTGAAAGAGCATGCGGGGGTTTATAAACGGGTATATGGAGCAGGAGCGACCACCCGGCGAGCACATCAGGATACCTTGGATCAATACGACCAAGAGAGAACGAACCTAGGCGGTAATATAAGGAGTGCGACAAGGAGTGAGCTAAAGTGAGCAAGGTAAGCACGATGAACGGCGAGAACGTGTCCTGGCGCGCGAAGGTGGAATACTCGTTTGTCGTGATTGTCGGGAATACATCTTGAGAATCTCAAGTTGAGATAAATATAACAACGGGCATTAAGAACCAGAAAAATTCTGCAAAATACAAAGGACCTCCCCACAAAGTTGAGTTCGCACGAGTGAGACGAGCGAGATTACTTATTATCTCTGACCTTTCGTAGAACGTGCGCTGCTTGTTCTTCCGGATGTCACAGAACATCGCAATTTCTGAAGTTGTTTTCTGATGCAAACGGTATCCCAAAGGATCGTGATATTATAATTTGCGAAAGAAGTTAATCTGTGCGTGCGAATCTGATTGTAAAAAGATTGCATTCAAAGCAATGTAAAACTGTGGATTTTTTCTTTTTCGCACAAGTAGCAAAAAGGATGCTGTATATTATCTGGATTTTTTTATCAAATACCGACAAAAACTTTTTTTAATTAAAAATCAATAATTCGTTGTATCATTATTACACTCGATCACGTTATTGTCGACGCTGCATCGTCTGTCTATATGAGTAGCCTCTTCTTCTTTGTTCTGATTGGCCTATAGCTCCTTCCAAGTCAAATCAGCCAGAAATAGTAGGTTGTTGATTCAACAATTTTCTTCGGATGTTTGGCAGAGAAATTTGCATACTCCGAGCTTAGGGAATGAATAGTCTCGGATGTGGATGGTTTATTTGTTCGAATGGCTCCTTCGGCCAGCTATCTTACTCAAGGCAGCAAAAGATCTGAATGAACAAAATGTCACGTAGGTCGCAATAGGGTGGTACGAAAAAAAGAGAAGAAAACGGGCCGGCAGCGGGTGGCGCATGCGTCACTGTGTATATGCGCCCGTGTGACGGTAACCGGAACGACGTAGAAGTATAGATTGCCGAAGCGAGCACAGCACGGACTCAGTCCTCCAGCAAACTCCACCGAGGACTTGTTGAGCTTGTGTGCACCTAGCGAGGGGTAGCTAATCCTGCCCGGCCGAGGTGTAAAGGCGTTCCAGGCAAGCTGAGCCAGGGCGCAAGAACTTTTCGTAAGTGACTCATGGCTTGTTAATAGAAGGGGTGCTTCTGATGTTCAGTGTGTCATGATATTGTAGACGTTGCACGAATGTTTTAGAATCAGAGCGTCCTACATGTTGTATCTTTCGAAGTTTGTCCTTGACGTTCAGACACATTCTTAACATTTTTTTCTAGATAAAGTAGTTATCGTTGAAGTGTGTTAAAACACAATTAAAATAGAATAAAGTGATTTATAGTAAAGATTTATATTTAAAGTTAAAATAAAAAGTGTTTAAATATTTTTTTTACTTAAAATTGTGGTTTTTTAATGTATTAAAGAATAATTTGAGCTGTAAAAATTGGATAAATTTAGATTAATTGAAATTTTGTGTTAAACGTATTACTATTTTAGCTACATCCATTTATATATAAACGACATGCACTAAATATCGCAAATAAATTTCATCACAGTTAAAAAAACATAAGAGGGAGATTGATGAAACACGAATTATCGATTGTGTATTCGGGGTTATTGTTAGTATTGACCTGATGCAATTCATTTCAAATGCTGATCATAAATTATTCCTTGACTGTGAATAGAATATGAACATAACTCATTACATTACATTTTTCCCTCTTTTACAAATAATTAAATGCTGATGCATTTAATCTTCTTGTACTATATATTATATGAAACAATTTTCTTTGAAAAAAAAAGATGCCTATCACATCATTAATTGTAATATAAATATTAATTAATTGTAATGTAAATATAAATATTAATGATAATTTAAATATTCATGTTAAACGAATACAGTCGATTGCATTTTAATATATTTATAAATATTAATCGGTTCATTAATACCATCATAGTTTATTATCATGCATTAGGGGCTTATTCTCGAAGAATGTCGCATATGAAAATACATGTATATCATAGATCTTCCCAGTATTTTCATACGCGATATTTTGTGAGAATAAGACCCCTGAATCGCAATAAAGCTTACTATAATACTATAAAGCTTATAGTGAACTTTAGTGAACCTTACTAATTAGTGTGACATAAGAAATAAATAAAAGATATGAAATTACAAAAGAAAAAATAAGTAATAATAATCGATGACTTTGCATGAAGAATGCTCTTATCGGTTTTTGCATTATGAAATTGCACTAGCAACCGTGAAAAGATCGCTTTAAGAAAAGTATAGTAGAAGCATTACATCATCGACATTTGATAAGATAAATCATCATGTAAAACGGGTTCGATGCTAACGGCTAACTGCGTCTTACGGATCGCTGCTTGCAACAAAAACAGCCGGGATAAACAACACGGAAATAAAATATACTCGTAAGAGGTATAAGAAAGAGAAAATCAAGCGAAATTCATTTCAAACTAAACGGTAACAAATTCCTTCTTATCCTGTTTTGCAATTTAAATGTTCTGTTTTTGTCCTCTCTCTCTTATCTTTGTAAGTTGCATCGAGCTACATCGTAAATATAATCTACTTTTACGTAGAAACTTTTAGACAAATGTAATTTCAATACATTACTGTCAGTCACAGTTTCAAAACAGTAAAAAATTTAAGTAATGAAAAAATGAATTTACTTTCTGATTCTGATGAATTAAGAAAAAAAAGATTTCAAAATGTTTTGGAAATTTCTGAATACTTATATTGCTAAATTTATAAAATGTAAATGTCATGCAGATAGAAAAAATACTCTCAAAAATAATATTCCTAATTATTTTGAGATAGTTACACGCATAATGCATTTGTAAATATTCGCGCAATAATATGTAATAAATTAACGTTTACTTTTCAATAATGTGCGATTACGCCGAGTTTTCTCTGATAAATTTCAATAATTTTAACGCGATATGAGCACCCTTTCTCCCTCGGATGATTATAGAGCGCCGAAGATCAGTACATCTCTAACGGCATGAAGGCGTGTGCGGTGATAACGTTAGTGCTTGTAGCAAACACGGCTTACATCGGTGTCGAGGCATGGGGTGGCCTTTTCAACCGCTTTAGTCCTGAAATGCTGTCTAATCTCGGTTATGGCAGTCATGGAGGTTACATGAACCGCCCTGGATTATTGCAAGTAAGTAAAGCGACCCGTCCTTGGAAAAATAACAGTTTTATATCTCGCGATCATTGTGATCAAGTGATAATCATATTTTGTAAGAAAGTAGCCGTAAAAACTTGTAAACCATATTTCAATCTTTTAAACGTCCTTTACATATATTTTAGACATCAAAGATACAAAAACCTGAAGATATTCAAACATCCGTTGAAAATCCAGGCATCTAAAATTCCAAAAATGTTACAAGCTGGTATTCCTAGTCGATTCTTGCTATTTAAAATCATTTTAAGTATAATATTGAGATGTCATTACAAAGCTGTATTAACATCTTAAATATAATAACTTAAGACGGATTTAAAATAAGAACAGACTATGAATTACGCGGCTTTAATTTTTCAAGTGCTCTTTAAATGTATCTTAAAAATATCGAAGATAAAATTTTTTAAACTTCTTTTAATAATCTGAACGATTAAATAAAAGTTCAAAAATTATTTTAACCTCTTTTAAACACTTTTCACATAATAAAATTTCAGACGTAAACTGATAAAATCTAAAGTACTTGCAAGTTTGCCTAGATGTCCTTCCGAGTTTTTTTAAACGCCATTTGAACTTTTTATTATTTGATTTAATTAGCAACACCGTACCGCAATACAGGTCACGCACGATCGATACTTCATTTTCGAGCTACGTGCTTCAGTAATCGCGAGAAGAATTCTCCAGTGGCTCTGTTTATTTCACATTTCTTCGGTCGCGAAGAATTAACCGCGAAATTGCAATCTGGAGATTGAACAGAGCCGCCTCTGTACCACGATATTTGTGAAATTACTGCTACTATAGAAACTTTTACTGCGTTTCAACTGCAGTGGAGTTATAACTTCTGGGAATACTCAAGCCCGATAAATATCTGCGCACGTTTCAATTGCAGCTTTATTTATTTCGCATTAACTCAGGAAGATTAATTCTCTTCGCCGTGTGTATAATCAAGCCCTGGAAAATTTCTATTATTATTAAATGGAATGGAATTATGCAGTAATATTTTCTTACTCATGTATATTCTCTTTATTACATGCTTCTTATATAGGCCACGTTCCGATATATGTACGCTACTAGTACTAAAAATCTATAATATACGTAATATAAACTATATATTTCTAGTACTGGCAGTGTATATTAAAACGCGGCCATGTTCATCATTATTTTACTTATATATTCTTTTGTTTAAAGAACAGTGAATTTGCAAAATATTCTAAACAAAATTATATAAATTAATTTAATCTAACAAGAGAATATCAAATGCATTATCATTCAACTCACACTTGTCTGCGATCAAGAAAAGCGAAAGAAAAGCATCACGTGATACACTGTGATAACAATGATTCATCGAAGTTACGGATATAAGTTAGAAATAAATGATTAAATAAACTAAAATTAACGAATAAAAAACATGCTACCGTTTCTTACAGATTTCGAAGCAATTCCAACAAACAATTCTATTCCATTTAATTATTGATTGAAGAGAAAATGACAATTGTTTTTACCATCCCACTTTTAATTTTTCTTGATAAATTATTTCGTAATTTTAAAATTGTTAAATATATTCAATTCTAAATAATGCATTTAAGATCTTAAAATATAATTTGTATTTCAAATAAAGCAGTCAATCCAGGAAGGATATGGTGGTATATATGAAGGAGTTGAACCAACGGAAGAACCTTGCTACGAGAGAAAATGCGCGTATAATGATCACTGTTGCCCAGGTTCCATTTGTGTAAATCTCGATGGAGGTAAATTAAAATATCTCACAATTAAAAGTTCCTATTAATTAATTAAAGCTTATTCAATTAAAATTAATAAAGCTCTCTTCTAGGAAACAAGCTGTTATGTCTTTGACATTTGAACATTAAAGTAACATCAACTTGTTTCCTGAGTTATTTTTTATTCTTTTCGTTTTGTCGATAAGAAAATAATCACGAGTTTAATGTTGCAGTTGTTGGAACATGTGTTTTCGATTTTGGTATGAAACAAGGCGAGCTTTGCAGACGGGATAGCGATTGCGAAACTGGCTTAATGTGTGCCGAAATGCCTGGACGGGAAACAAAATCGTGTCAACCACCGACCACTTCAAACAAATTATACAGTACGTTGACAAATGTATATTCTGCTCTTTTAAAATATACCCAAGAACAATAAGACACGATAACGTCAAAACGATGTTAAAATGAATCGTAAATGATTGAAGTGACTTTCAGTGATCATTTTAGAGTTATTTTGCATCATTTTAATAACGTGATGACGTGTTTTGCTTGGATACATAGTTACTTAAGATCATGAAAAGATTCTACCAAGCGAATGTAATGTACTTACAGATGAGGAGTGCACTATGTCAAGCGAGTGTGATATCAGCCGTGGACTGTGCTGCCAATTACAAAGGCGACACCGGCAAACTCCTAGAAAGGTAACAATACGTATCTATTATTATATGAATTGTAAAATATAAAATTACATTTAAAATTTTAAGAAAAATTTTATTTCTTTAACGGAGTGTTTTGTGTATGTAAAAAGAAATGTCTTATAATACTGTTCCGTGAATATAAATCTTTTTTAATACCTTATCGAGTAGAACGATCGTTTTATAAGTCTAACAATGAAAAAAATCTCGTTTTATATCATTCTGACGATGAAAAATCTCGGCAGGTTTGCTCGTACTTCAAGGACCCTCTCGTCTGCATCGGTCCGGTGGCGACGGATCAGATAAAGTCCGTGATCCAATACACTTCCGGCGAGAAACGGATCACCGGACAGGGCAACCGCCTATTCAAGCGGATGCCATTCGCCTAAACGCTCGCGCGTCGTCACAACGGATGGGAAGTATATAAGATAACATACAGTATATAAGATAAGCTACGAGAAAATCAAATCCTCCTTTAGTCGTTGTGAAGATACCTAGGTCTAAGTCTGTCGATTCGACATTACATTCAATCTCCTTCCAAGTCCTAACTCTATTCCATACCACGATACACCAGAAAGTATGATGATAGCGTGCGACAAAAGTGGAATTAAATATTACTCGGGGAGATGTTACTTCGAGGATGTTTCTTCTTCGAATATAGCGCGACTGACAAACCTATAACACATATCATAGTAAGCCGTCTTATAGGTCTCTAGGGATAAGGGACACGCTAGCGTAGTTATGATAAGGAAAGTGCGCTGATGTTTAAGCGCCATTTGACAAAGATGTTTCTTAATGATATAAAACTAAGGTGTAAGAGGAAAGCTCGAAAGAAGGTTTATCTATCGGTCTACCGGTTGAGCTTTTCTTTCGAACTGTAGAGAAAGTTTAGTGAAGCACTTAATTGTTCGCGATAAGTCATGGTCATAGAAATAAGATATAATAAATGAGAGGCGTGCACAAAGGGAGAAGTAAAGTCCTTGTTATCGTCGCCGTGTCAACATTGACTATTTTATTTTATTAATCAGTGATATTTTCGTTATGCTAATCTGTAGGATATTTCAAATGATAAGGTCTATCTTTCGAAAATTTTCGAAGCAATAGAATAACAGATCATGACACACAACAATGTGGTTGCATTGCAAATGAAATTTCCCTCAATGCGAGAAATTTTAATGTCGATACCGTGAACGATAATTAAATTGTAAGAGACTGTGCTTTTCAACTGCATTTTCATACATTTTCACTGTATCATAAAGTAAAAATTGATTTAAAACTTGTTAATTTCATAATAACAAAAATAATCTTACGCAAAAAGATGATATACGAGAAGCGTTTCTAACACAAAATTAAAATATATATTAAAATGAAAATGACCCAAACAAAATCTAAAAGAGAATAAAGTCAAATAATTCTATAAAAGAGACATTTTCTAAATTTGAGGTGCCTTTTGGATTTTTTTTAGAAAGCGCTTTGAACTTCTATACTGTTTGTGAAATGCATATTTCACAATTTTGAACAACAAAATGAAGAAAGTGCAGTTAAAAGGAACAGAAGTATCGTCAACGATTGTAAGTTGACTTATATCTTTAATTGGAGTTCTTGAATGATTCCAATGAGTCGGGATGCCAGCAGGACGTGACGAAAGGAGTCGTGTGCAATGGCGGATTTAAGGCTCAAATAAAATAAGAAATAACATTTCTAGCAAGCCAATATTTTCAATATTATGAAAACGTTTTTCACTTTGTTGCTGAAATATGAATGTTACAAGCATATAAACAGTCATAAATCAGCTCAACGATTTGGGGAAACTCGATAATACACGAGTCCCTAATAAGCTCCAAGAAACCGGTTAGCCATAAGTTCGCCATTGCACGTCCCGTTGATTATTCAAACGCACAGATCGAAATATTTATTTTTCTTTCTCATTATACGAACGGTCATCCGGCAGACATCGCAAGAAACGCGAGGTGTCATTCAGACGGTTTTAATGATGGAGAAGTATTTTCTACTGGGGGAAGAGAGCTGAAAGAGGCGCAAGTACCTTATAATTCAATCGATGTTTCGAGTTTACCCTTAGAAATCGTAAGACGTTTAACTCGATTCTATGTCAAATACATTTATCCCTACCCTTCTCCAAAAAGAACTTCGCGCACCGTCGGTGTGTATATCGTAATCTAAGTCACATTGTGTTGAAAAATGACACATTTTAGAATGTAGGAGGATTATTACGCTATAAACGATACATATCAAAGAGGGAAACATTTTTCTCCGCTACATTATATTCAGAGATATAGCGTTATATATAAATATACACATATACAATGACGAAGGAAAAGATGAGACACTTTTAACTCTTAGTGGCAAATATAAGTGTGCGTATTGTTCGTTTAAAAAAAAAAGATAAAATTCCAAGCAAGTACTAAGAAGGTGAAGTTATTAAAAATCGCGGAAATCGCTCTGTTAAATATCAATCGCAGAAATCGCTCTCTGTCAAATAATAATATCGCGGAAATCGCTCTATTAACTGTACTAATGAAATCGTAATATTATAAATATACGATATATATTATCTGTGGCTATTGTTATGTGAAACATTACTCTGTGGAAAAAAATTCATTATAATATTAATCGTTACTGTCGTCAGAGAAAGTATAATGTTAAATAATAATCGTTTCAGAATGATTGCACGATGTTTTAAGCGTAATCGTGGAAGGCGCAATGTTAAGAGTTTTTTGAAATCACATTCGCATATAACACAACAACAACAACAACAACAACAACAACAGCAAACAACAATAGAGAATGACAGAAATGCTCTAATCTCAATATCCGTAGAATAATCTGTCCTTTGTCTTGAAAAGAAAAAGCTCTTAGCGAACCGTTACTTTCTATGCCACCGGTGCTATAATCGCCAAGAGAGTCCCCTGAAGACATATTATCAATCTTCTACTATCTCTCGATATTTCCCAAAACGTTAATCTACCTGTGTAAGAAAAAACTCAAAACATATCGAAATGCCTAATGCATTTAAGAGAATTCTATAAAATATGAATGTTAATTACAAGATATATTATCCTATTGAAAAATTATATTTTTATCTTCGATCCGTATGTATACTTAAGCTCTATATATTTACACAATATATTTTCTCGAGAGGCGTACATATACCTATAAAATAATATACATATATTATATATATATATCCATATATACGCACATTTACATATCCGCCCTGCTGTATCATACATATGTAATGTTCTGAGAGAGAAACTGAGATTTTTTATTCATAATTTTAAGCGGTTATCCTCTTGTCTTAAATTACAGATGTAAAATTATTTGTTAATGCGGATCGATGACCTAGTCATATAAATTTACTATTTTAATTACAATTTATGCGTCTTTTCTTATTTTTATGCGTTTTATTTAATTTAATAACAGTCACTATAATTTGGATTTCCTGAAAAATATAAATATTTAATGTGAGATATTTTAGACCTGAGAAAAATTTTTTTATCTAATCTATCTGTGTATGAATTAAATATTTTAAATGAAAATTTCATTATTTCATGAGAATATTAGAAAGAAGTTTTCTTACTAGATGTTGAATTTAAAATTATTTGTGGCATATGTTGTAGGACATATCTTCTCCTTAGATACAGAATATTATATTATATAGTTATCTGCAAATATTTTATATATAATAATCTATATATAATTTCATAGAATATATATATACATACATATACATATATGTACATATATATGCATATATATATATGTGTGTGTGTGTGTGTGTGTGTATATAAATATGCACGTTTTCTCAAAAGTCTCTCTGTTTCTACCTGGATATCTTCTTTGTCTTACTAAACTAATTAGTCGGGCTAAGGAACTGGACTAAGGAAGTATTGTGAACTGCACACAAAAAAAGATACATATCATAGCTTGTAAGAGTCTTTGCCTTGTAAGGAAGTTCAGACGCATGTTCACAAAGCACAGGTCGCAAAAGTGATAGCGAATATATGCACATATACGAGCTGTCGCAGATCTCTTAAAAGAAATTCGGCCGTCTGGCCTTGAGTCGAAAGTACCTCTGCCGAAAGAGTTAATCCCAGCATAAAACTTTATGTGTTTATGACGTATATGTAAATGTATCGTTCAAAATTACAATACTTAAAAAAAAGTTCTAATAGCTAAATGTGAAATACACGATGGTGCATATGAAATAAACCGAATATATTTCTGTCACTCCTTTTGACTATCAAGTATTTTCTCCTCAAAAATATGCGCTCATGTATACATATAATCGATAGGGTTGGGTAAAGTCAAATTAAATGTTAATAGTTACCGAAAAAATGTAACTAAATTGAATTAAAAAGTTACGAGTCTAAGGCCCGTTTCTACCAATGTAGATTAACTTTGGATCTTGGTTCTTGGTTCATCTCACTCTTCATCTTTTTCTAATTCTTAGAACCATCAATAACTTTCCAACATATGATAAAATATTATGTAAAATATTAGGCAAAATATATTATAAAATAACATTTAATAATTTTATATATTTAATGTGACATTTTATATATATAATTTTATACACATATTCTAAATATTTTATTAAAATGTTTCAAGAGAAGCATTTCAAAATAATATATATACAATGCATATTTTATATATATTATATTAAAGGATATTTTGTAAAATGATTTCTATTGCCGGAGAAATGATTCAAATTTTATTCGCACTATAGATGACATTAAAAAAATATTTCGTTGCATTCAAACATTCAACTACACTGAGAAAAAAATGTTGTTGATTCAATTGAAGTCTATATTACGGGTTGTCACTAACATGAGTGATTAGTTTATGTATATTTTTATTGACATAAATTTTAAAGGCATAAATTATTATTTCAATAATAAGGCCTTTATGTCAATATACATGAATTAATTACTTATGTTAGTGACAGCCCGTAATATAGACTTTAATTGAATCAATAGCATTTTTTTCTCAGTGTATAAATAGGGCTGATTATGTTGGGTGCTTTCTATTTGGTGACACAAATCGAACATGAATGTCATTCTTATATTTTGTTATTCTCAGAAAGATGGAATTGATATTTGTGTCGATTTGTGCCACTAATGCTCGTTTCTAATAATGCAAATTAACTTTAATCTCGATTTAACTTACTATCTATCTTTTTCTATAATTGTAAGAATTATAATTAAAAGATAGATAGAAATTAAAGTTAATTTTATATTTGTGGAACCGGGTCTAAAAATTAAAAAAAAATAGAGTAAATTAAATCGAGATTAAAGTTAATCTACAACATTCGCAAAAATGAACAATAAATAAAGAGCATCCTTATGGTACCCTACAAGTATCAGCATGATCTTGGGTGCATTCCGTTTCACGCATGATACGCATGATGCATCATTTATCTTTGTTGTTTACCGAATGTTAAACAAGAATAAATGATGCATTATGCACATCATGCGTGAAACAAAGGCGTTCCGTTTCACGCATGATGCGCATGATGTATCATTTTATCTTCCTTTAATATTCGATGAACAAGAAGGATAAAACGATATATCATGCACACGATGCGTAAAACGGAACGCACCTGGAATGCATCTCTTAAATTGTTTTGACAATAATGCGCTATCTTGTGGATATTGAAACAAGCTCGACTGGACATTGCATATACTTGTGGCATATATATGGAAAAGACGATTTTAGCGAGACTGGAACGTTATACCGCATGCATGCTTGTATTACATATTTTCAAGAAAGAATGAACAAATAATAATTCACTCACGATACGATTCCTCCGCTATCGTCCCATACCTCCCCGTGCCACCTTCTCCTCCTGCCTCTCCGCGTCGCAACTCACAATGGCTACTCTTTCGTGGCGTTCGCACGATCGGCACGACATTCGTGAAAACAGCGGTGAATTACGATCGCTCGCAGTAATCAAAACTCGACGAGGTACACGCGGTACTCTCGACACGTGACACATACCTTACTTCCCATCGAGACGAATCGAAACGAAATATTAACGCGAAAAAAATACGATCAAGCAAGTACAATTTACTCGGGCTGATGAACGTTCCGCGAATGAGTCTCGAACGTAACGGAAGAAATTCGAACGTCGCGCGGCCAACTTCACTCTCATACGACGTGAATCAATTCAAAAGCTATAATTAGAGTGTGTGGACTCTAATAAAAATCTAATGCAATAAAAAAATTTAGATAATTCCTAAACAGTTATGCATTTTATCATTTCAGCTGTTTGATGTAAAATAAATAAACATATGAGTCTAAATTAAAAATGGATATATGCATCTAGAGATGATTAATTAAATTATAGCTATATATCGTATATGTATATATATTATACGTTTACAGGCATCACCGAAATTAAGATAATTAATAAAAATTTAAGATGCTTTTTCATGTTGATGCCCCATTTTTAGCGATAAAATAGATTACATGATCAAAATTGATGCTATAATTGATGCTAATTTATATTTGTCAATTTTTATTACGTGAACTGGTTTTTAATACTAAAAATGAACATTGGACGTCAAAAAACATGAAAAAAAGACCTTTACTAATTATTATGTACGCGTATTAAGTGCTCGGTGTAAACAAGAGGTCTGTTCCCATTGTTTGAAATCCCCAAATATTTTTGCATTTAAAATGGGATAGATATATATTTTCGCGTTGAAAAGGGAGAAAGTGAAGATGCTGAGTGCAAAAAGTGCAAGCAACGCGAACAGACTTAAGGTCTGGGTGCGGTTCACTAGACGACACAAATATTTCGATGTTTTGATTGACCAATCGGAAGAAAGAATTTTATTAATTGACCAATCAAAAAATACCTCGATGTATTTATATATAGTATATCGAGTGGACTATAGTTTAAATTATACCCCTGATGAAATTTTTATACGAATTTGGACACTTTCCAGAAATACTAATAAATTAATTTATTTATGCAAACGTCAGCTGAAAACTTTAATTATTTTAGAATTATATCTAATATTTTTTAACCCTCCTTTTTTCATTCCAAATGAAGTAGCGCAATCCATATTTCCAATATGCATGTGCAACATGTACATCTACAGTACATGGCGTTTTCAGCTTTTTGCGTACTTTTGAGCTCTTTTTAGGTTATGTGTTGTGCAATTATACTATGAATGCTTCAAGTAATTCGTGAAATAATTTTATGAATATTGAACATAAATCCACTTAAGAGATATACAAGCTAAATGTAACTTCTCCTGATATGTAACAATTCACGTATAAATATCAGATTTTTATTATTGAGACTCCGTAATTTGGAATGATGACGCTACGTTTGTTCGACAACGAGGTAAGAAATTGAAAATAATAAACTGTCTGTATGGAAGTTACTATTATGAAATACACCGCCGCGGTTGTCTCTTTAGACAGATTTCATTTAAGTCTACTCTGTGATCTTTGCATCCTTTTTCTTGCTTTTTATCAAAAATTTCACTTATCTTTTTTGTCTCTTATCTTAGCTGTTGTTCCAAGGTGAAATTTCAGAAAAGACAATTTTGTCAATAAAACAGTCATAAAAAATGAAAAAGCAAGAAACAGGAAGCAAAGAGTACATTGTAAATTTTGGACTTCAGTAACTTTTATATTGCTTATTGTCTATCTTTTAGGATTATTCCACATTGGATGCTATTCCAAATGTGTGCACGGAGAATGGTGAAATGGAGAGTTATGATTACCTGAGAGAATGCATCAGCAATCTTGAGAATAAGAACTCTGAGGTCGGTCTAGTAGCTAATTCTACAGGTGTCACAGACATTAGTTTACAGGGAGATGGTTTAGACGATGTTAATTTGAATAGTATTGATTTTAATTTTATGAAAATCGAAAGCCTATTCCTACAAAATACCTTGGACTCTACAAATTGTATAAAGAATGAAGAGGAAAAAACAAAACAAGGCAGCTCTATAGATGTTGATATTTCACACTCGATTCAACATTTTAACACAATGAGTCTAAATTTCTCAAATTTTTCAAACAGTAAAGATTCAGATAATATAACGACTGTTCATAATAACGATTCCTACACATTCGACAAAGATCAATGTTTAGAAAGTAAGAACATAGAGAATTATAATTGTTCTGTTAAACTTTATACAGAAAATATAGATACAGATTCTAATGTCACTAAAGATGTCAGTAATATAAATCAAAATGTTATATCTGAATTGAAACGTGAAATCAAAGTTAATAATCTGGAGTTATCAGATGGAGATGAACAGTTTCAAAAGTGTGAGCAATGTCTAATGACGTTCAGATATAAAAGACACTTGGATCGTCATTTGGAGGGTCATCAGAAAAATAACTGTCCTCACTGTAATGAAAAATTCGCCAGACGAAAACATTTAGATGTCCATTTGTTTCGCGCGCATGGAGAAAGGGTAGTTAGACATCCTCATTTGTGCGACGTATGTCCGAAAAGTTTTCCCAAACGCGCCCTTTTGAACCGTCATAGAGCAAAGCACACTTATCAGAACGGCAAGGTATGTTCGGATTGCGGAGATATGATAAACATGGATACAGACGAAAAAGAACACAAGGAGAATCACTGTAAAAAAAGGCAATTCAAGTGCCAGCAATGTTCGCAAACATTTAGTATCAAGCAGACATATATATCCCATATTCAGAATCACGATAACTATAAGTGTCCACACTGTGATATCACTTTTGCATCGAAGAAGAAGGTGCACGAGCACTTTAAAGCGGTTCATATCCCAAAATTAAGCGAGCAAGAATCGGCAAATGGTGATGAATATTAAAATTGTATTAATGGGACAGTTTATTTTTCTTGTACTTATCTAATAATGTTATTTTACAGGTCCATATTTTTGCGCTGATTGCAGACACTCGTTTGTAAAGAAAGACGACTATTTTCGACACTTGGAGTCCGCGTTACATCTTAATAAAGTTAACAAGGATATACCTGTAAGGGCTATATTCTCCTGCGCAATCTGTTCGAAAAAACTAATTACGCAAAGAGCTCTGGATCAACATGTCAGACGTATTCACAAGGGCGCAAAGCGATTCGTCTGTAACATATATGGGTGTACATTTCAGTGTGCCAGAAGAACAGATCTAGATAGGCACAAACAATTGCATGTAGAAGAGCGAAATATTGTATGCGAGCATTGTGGCAAAACATTTACCAGTGTCAGCATCCTCAAAGATCATGTACTTTATATTCATAGTAAAGAGCGACAATTCATCTGCGAAGAATGTGGCAAAGCTTTTAAGAGAAACAGTTTATTGAAGAGACACAAATTGTCGCACGAGCAACATCGGCCGTTTGCCTGTATGCAATGTAACACGGCATTCAAACGCTCGCACCATCTCACTCGTCACATGGAAACCTGTCATAGAATCACACTGGAAAAAAAGAAGAAGGTAAAAAAGAATTCTTGTGATAGTCTCTTAAGATATATATTTTATGTATAAATAACTGTAATTACAATTTCAAGGTGGTAAAATTCATGAAAACAAAAGATGGCCATCTTGTGCCAGTGCCAGATAAACCAAACAGATCAGAAACTGATAAAGTAAAAGCTGGAAAGGGATGTGAAACAATTGCAAGGAATAAAGAGAAAGATTGTTCTGTTACAAATGTAAAGAAAGAGGCTGCAAATGCTAATTCGCAACTGGAAATACAACCCTCGTTAAATCCTGAAGAAAACTCCGAATGCCGGAATTTGTCGTTAGAACCTACAAATTTATCTATCGTCGAGTCTATTCCTCAAGTTTTCTCGTTAGTAGATGTAAACACGGGACAAGTGCTTACTGTAGAAATTACCAATAATTCGGAATTGTTACCTACTAATGAACTTGTTAATCAACTTGGAACAAATTGTAATGAAATATTGAATTTACCCGATTATCCAGATACAGAATTTCAAAGTAGTCTTCTAAATATCGATCAAATGTGTTATGACAATACAAATTACTCAGAAATATCGTTGGAAAATATTGAAGGTTCGTTCCCGCTTGTAAGTAATAATAGTAAGATGGAAATGATAGAAAGCTATTTAACTCATGAGTTTCCAGCATTCCTTAATATTTGAAGATTTATAGTATGGAAGATCGTATGTGTATGTATGTTGTTTAATTGGTAATATAATGGTTGTTCACATTTAAAATGTCATTATGTGTTATCGTATTTTGTTAAAATATAAAATTATTTATTTTGTTAACAACGAAGACTATGTTATTAAATTTTATAAAATTTATTTTTTTATACTACAAGATGTAATTTAACATTTTAATTTTTTTTAAATAAATACATATTCTTTCAAAGTACAAAAATTTTATTACCTCGTATAATAGCAAATATTTTAACAAATATTTTCACACACAGAGCTATATTATATATTATATAAGGTATTATTTTATTAAGATGTATAAACGTAAAATTTTATCGAACTATTAGAATGTACACTAAGTTAATATGTGTATTAAATATATATAATTATTTTACATAAAAAATAACAAATGCGACATAATAATGTATCAATCTAGATGTATTTAGTTCAACTTTAAAATATAACTAATATTAAATATTTGAGATTAATTGAAAATATATATGTATAATATTAATCCCAAATTAAATTTTGAACGTTTTTTTTTTATACAGATCTAAATTTTACGTATAGCTGAATCAAAGTCCTAATCAGTTAAGCTAGTTAAAAAGTTAATAAGCTTCCTTTTTTATCTTATTCCTCCCCATTATTTTACACTTTCTATTTAACAATGCATATGTAAGATGGAAATTAGTGAAATTTATTAACATACAAATATTTTAATTTTGTACGTGTATCGTTTAAAATACGTGCAAAGACCAGAAGAAATCGAGAACTCGTTCGATCTTCATTTGTGTAAGATTAAAGGATTCAATAATCATATGTATCTTTAATAGAGCATACTAAAATATAAAGAAAACTGTAAACTTTCATAATTTTTAATAATCTATCATTAAATCATAACACGTATATATGTTTTAGTCATCATAAAGTCATAATTATTATTTGTAATATAAATATAAACCAGTAATAAGTGTGAACTATCATAAACATCTTATATGAATTATTTGCGACGTAAATATAAATCAGTAATTCTTTTATAAATTCTGTGTATTGTATCAATTTGTATGTGTATAAACATATGCATATAATATATACATATATATATAAATATAAACATAATTAGAAGAGAACCGTTTCGTGCATTTATATTTACCATTTATTTACCAAATATGCTTGTATCGTTAGAAATATATAACTTGATATGTAATTAAAAAACTTAATATATTTAATTATATATTTCTGTTAATTAAAAACACAAAAAATACAACTTGTCCTGCACCTCATTAACTCTGGTTTGTCTTTATCCATTTTCTGTTTTCTTCATGAAACAAATCTGTGTACAAGTATACCAATAACAGCAGCAGATGCTCCAATCGCAGTCCATAGAATTCCTTTAGCGAGTTTACTTTTTTCTTCTACTTTTATATTCTTTGACGACTTATCAGTCTCTTTATTTATACCCAACATTTTAGCATACAGATGCTTTTCTTTCTCAGTCTGTTTTAAAATTATTTCTTTTAAAGTCATTAATTCTGTTTGCAACGACTTCACATCTGGATCTATCTTTTGCACTTCAAGGAAAGCCATATAAGCCTTTCCATAATTCCCTTTAGCTTTTAATATCCTTCCTGTAAAAATAATACAGATATATATAAAAAGATATATACACTTGGGTAAAATATAATTCATAAATATGAAAAAATTAACACATTAAAAAAAACAAAATAACAATAAGAACTTTAGATGAGATTTTTTACTACCTTTTCTAAATAGAGCTTTTAAATTTTTTGGTTGATACTTCAGAACTCTCTCTATATTTTCTAAAGCTGTGTTGTAAGATCCCATCTCAATTAATGCAGCCGCTAAATTGTTATACACTTTTATGCAATCATCCAACAGTCCCTGCAATTGGCTATCGGTAATCGGCCCTGATTCTTCATTTTCTTCATTCCAATTCATACCATCTATTTGTAGATACTCTGATGCTCTCTGATAACACTGTATTGCAAAATTAAGCTCCTTGCGAACAAACCACCAATTTCCACGTTGGCGTTTCTTGTTACTACAAAGAAATAATGTACATTATAATGAAAAGAAATTAAAGAGATAAATAACATACAGTCTTAACCTTCAATTATGTGTGTGTGTGTGTGTGTATAAAGATCATAAATAAAATGATTACCCTAGTTCTCTCCTTTCCTTGACGCTTAGACTTTCTATATCAGGACTATCCTCTATTGCTTTCAATTCAACTGTGTATGTAATAGTAGCATTAGGTGGTATTGATCCTTCTCCACGTGTGCCATAAGCAAATCTAGGATCGATTTTTATTTCAGCAATTTCACCCAATTCCATCAATACAATTGTTAGGTCTAATCCCTATAGTTTGATATATTGTAAATGAGATACTGACAGTTATAATACAAGTAACAATGTTATAATAATAGTTATAATACCTGTACTACTTCAAAATCTCCTAATTGTATCGAAACATTATCTTGATCTTCCACCACTATGCCATCATCAAGCACACCAGTAAACGTTAGTGTACATACATCTTTTTGTATTGGCTTTACGTCTTTTGTGCCTTTCTTTATGATTTTCTTCATCAGCTGACCATTACCAATTATATCTAACCACTCCTCCTTAGATTGATCCCCCTTCGATTGATCTTTAGATTGATCTTCCTTAGGTTGATCTTCCTTAGGTTGATCTACCTTAGGTTGATCTTCCTTAAGTTGATCCACCTGAGGTTGAGCTACCTTAGGTTGATCCTCGTTAGGTTGATCCTTCTTAGGTTGACCTTCCTGCTTATGTTGATCTCCCTTAGATTGATCCTCTAAAGAAGAGGGTTTATGGGATAATACCTCACCATTGTTATCGTAATTAGATATCTCGCAAGAAACATCAGTGAGCACCTCTTCTTCTGATGACATACTTTCATTCATCTTAGGCAAATAAAAATTACTTCAATAAAATAACCCTATCAATTATATTTCTATAAGTATAATGGATTTTCTCCATTTTTTCGCAAAAATAAAGTTATATTTACATAACAGTTATTCTATACTCGTGTAATATAAAGTTATCGAACACTGAACATGTAATTTACTGGAACGTTTAACCATGAAAATTTCGCGTGACGTTTTCCGAAGCTTTCTTAAAATTTTAAACGTTGAATATTGTTTTTCTAGATTTGGTTTGAACTAAAAATAAATTTCTGTACAAAAAAGAATCTTGTTGTTTGAATCTTGCCGAGCGCTGCTGAGCGCTGTGATAATGAGAATGATTAAGCAAAATGACGAAAGATTCTTGTTTGTTTCGCGATAAAACCATTAAAGAAACCGGCTTGATCACAACTTCAACAAGCGTCAATTGAACAACAAAATCAAAATTTTACTGTATTCTTCCGTTTTCTTTATTTTACCTCAGTAGTGTAAAGCGTGATGGTCATCTTCAGAAAAAGCAGGCTAGGGAACAAACAACTTCTCGTATAAATTCTGCTCACTATTGTGGTCTGCTGGAAGATGCCACGACAATGGGATTATGCGATAAGACTCACACCACGTGCGACGTGCATCCGCTCGAAAGCAAACTATAGGAAACTAATTACTGGGTCGATAGTCGAACCGTTACAAAACTTGAAAATTCTCGAAGATACGTAAAGAAAATCGTTACGTAAAGTTCTATTCAGGCTCACAAAAAACTTATTAAAATGTGCATGTAACAAAACAGTAATCAGCCAGTAAGGTCTCCGAAGGATAAAAATATAAATTACATGTTTTGTGTAATTACGATTTATTACATCATTAAGAATATAGGCATAAACGTTATAAATATTATTATAAACACAATGTTATAAATGACGATGTAAATATTTTTATAAGGCTCGATTTCACGCTACTCTTTGGGTGCTTTCCAGCCATTTGATGATACAGTGGACACAAGTGTCGTTCTATCTTTGTCACTCTGTGAATGTCAAGAAAAATAGAACGCTTGTGTCGATTAGTGTCGACTTGTGTCATCAAATGGAAAGTACCCTTTAACTTTAAGCGACTTAAAACTCACTTTCTCTCTTTAAAGCCGAGAGAGTGGGAGAGATGCAGAATTTTAAGCCTCGCTTAAAGTGGAAATAACCTTAGTGCAACCGTGCCAAAAACTTTATTTGTGCGCGAAGGATCGAGAATTCGTTTACAGAAAATTATTTATAGCGTTATCTAATTGAAGTAGATATGTCCGAAATGGATGAAAATATGAATGGGTGAAAGTGTAATTTTTTTATCAGCTCGGTTCCTATGCGCATATAAACGCATACGTCGCATAATGACACAAATCACATGTGAATAATGGAAAGTTCATAGAGGCCATGCCGGCCTCTTCCTGCTTTTTCCTATCACCATCGAAATCTCCCGTACACTACCGCCAATACATTCATTTTCAGTTTGGGAACTACGTGACTATTACCATGTACACTTTCTGACACTATCGATAAAATCGTATCGTCGAAAGTAGATACGTGGTTCGTATCTATACTAAATTCTCAGAATAAAAGCGTACCGACTATCCAATGTTTAATGGATCCTTGAACGAAAACATTTTAATTTCGCATGTCCTATGTCCTATATAATTAAAAAAAATATTGTTGAATTTTAATAAACGAAATTGAAAATTCAAACAATTAAGTGAATTACTGTCTCTATAATTACTAACAATTATAGAGACTTTTAATAAATTCAAACTTTTTTAAATATATATTGTCAATTAGATATAATTTAGCAGGAACGAGTTATAGAGGTCCTCCACCACCCCCGTCAATTATATTGGCGGTCCTCCGTTCTTTGCATACACATCCATGAAAAAAAAACGAGATACTATAATAAATTTAGTAGCCCGTTTTTGTAGGTAAGTGTTATTTTTAATTTATTTTTTATTTTTATGCTTAATTATTTTATTGTATTTGGTTAATGAAATTGCAATAACTTTTTTAATATTATTCTTTATCGTAATCTTTTATATAATTCGATATTACAATTAAAATAACTATTTACAAAACAATATACAATTATAAATGCTGTTCAAAATATAATAAAAATGAAAATACAGTACAGAAGAATAATTAAAAAATTTTAATAATGTGGGATTATACAAAAATGTCGAAAATACGTATTATAACATAAATTTTTCTAAACCAATGTTTAATGAAAAATTGATAAACGCAGAAGAAATACTAACAACAATTAGATCATAGTTACTATTAATTAATAATCTGCGAATATAAAACTTAATAATGTCGCGATAAAAAGTCATTAATATATTTATAACAGCACTTTCATCGCATTCAAGATACTTATTTCAATAATTTCATCACATCAAAGTCTCTTGTGCAGTTATTATTCGATACAAAAAAGAACAATTTTCAATGGAGAGCGAATATAATAATGTTTTCTGATTCTATGTCAAATTCACAAAGTCCATTTGCAAAGAAAAGTTAAGCAATCCATCAATACCAGTAGTCTTGTTAAAGGAGGGTCTGAATCCCGAATCTTTCAGACTACTTACAATAGTAATAATTTTGGTAGCATGTGTGTGTCAATTACAATTACCATTTTTATCACATCTTTAATATAGTATTAAAATTCGCGAGAAAATATAATGTGTTCTGCCACATCACTAAAAATCATCTCTTATTAAAAATAAACGGATAAAATGATTTCCTTATGCAATTCATAGTGGTTACGCGAAGGAATATATTTAATAATAATAAAATACATGCATTATTGTAATTTTTTATATGTGTAAATATAAAAGTTTCTCGTGTACCAACTGTTCGAGATAAATTGAATCTGATAATAATGGGATTTTAAAGAATTATACCTTTATACTAAAAAATTTATTATATAAAATTTAACAATTCCTTATATTCTGTATTTTCTAAAAATTTAATTATTAATATCTCGTTAATATAAGGGTACTCATTTGACTTATATCTCGAATTTTTTTGTACCCAAATAATTTTAACTATTCGTGTATTCACAACATTATTAAAAAAATATAAAGCATTTGGGTAAAAATTATCTAAATTAAAAATCAAAATTTGTTAAATATAATCTTATAATATCTGCATAAATTTTATCATAGAAAAGTGTGTGTGTGTGTCAATTCCTATTGTCATTCAGACAATCTATTACCAATATTATTACTAGTAGAAGAACATTTAGTAAAATGAAAAAAAGCGATGAAAATTGTACCATAAAATATACCACTGAATCAATTTCGGAACAAAAGTTATTTGAATATAGTGCTTAAATAACACAAATTATTTTACGATATTAAGGAAATGTGCATGTATTTTTAAGGAACATATATAGAATATTCTATGAATCTTTATTTAAATAAGAATCATTAAAAGAAATAATAAAAATTGAGACATAATGTTGGAATATCAAAAATACCCCACGCTAATAATTATTAATTACGTTAAAAAGAATCATGCAAATAATACCGTGTCGAACAAGTGCCAGAGATGCCAAAAGCAAAGCGCGAAATGTACTACGATAATAAGTACGAATAAATGAATAAAGATTAATAATTGAATAAAGATTATGTAAAAAAACCACGCTAGTAAAAACCTCTTTTTACTTCTTGCCTTTTGACATCACATTGTATAATTAATACGAAATATTTGAAATAATAAAATAATATCAAATATGTTCCACCGATGTATAACAATGTAATAACAATGTAAAAAGTGGGTATGGTATTCTAATAAATAATTACCCGGAGCTCGACAACGATCGCGAACGTTCATCGACAAGATCGTGAGAAAATTCAATTGCCACACGCATTGTTTTACGCACGATCAATTCCGCGTCGTTGTTCCGAACAAGCATCGCAGACACTTGTCGCACTCGCGCGTTTGAATTCACGAAATTGACGACGAAAGACGCTATACGTTTGCGCGAGCAGCCGTGCTACGAATCGCGTAAATCCCGTACAACAGTGCACAACGCGCGGAATTTTCGATGGACTGTACGACCTACTGCCTAAAATACGATCTCGAAGGCCAAGACGGCGCATAACGAGTCAAAAATGAAATGCGTACCTGATAAATCCGATCCAATTACTCAGTCTTGCCTTTGTGTCCGAACAGTGAAGACGGAAAGTTCATCCGCGGCCGTTGCTGGACACTTTGAAGATCCATTGGCTAAGCATCCTCCGCTTTCGTTTTCTCCCTTTACTGCACCTGAAGCACATTACACATACATATGAGACTCAATACGTACGAAAATATATATTCATATAATTTCGACGAGCCAGGTCGACAAGAAACGCAAAATTCACCTCATTTAGCCTCCGGTATTCCGCGAACGCGGCTAACTTCGCGATTCCACTGTGCTCGATCGCAACGAAAAGCACGAAAGAGATGATCGAGAACATTCGTCGACAAGATCGCAAGTAAATCTGGCTTCCGCACGCATCACCTCACGCACAAATAATCCCCGTCACTGTCGGAAACGAATATTGCACACACTTGTCGCAAACGGGTATTTGAACCGGTGAGAATTCAACGACGAAGGCGGAAGGACGATATATGGCTAATATGGCGGCGTGGCGAAAGTCTACTGCGCAGC